ATAAAAAGCATCGTATAGATGAATTGAGTTGGCCATCTTCAGTAGACTTTACAAAACATCATACTTTGGCTTCAAGAAATGCACACATATAAAAAGCATCGTATAGATGAATTGAGTTGGCCATCTTTAGTAGACTTTACAAAACATCATACTTTGGCTTCAAGAAATGCACACATATAAAAAGCATCGTATAGATGAATTGAGTTGGCCATCTTTAGTAGACTTTACAAAACAACATACTTTGGCTTCAAGAAATGCACACATGTGAAAAGCACCTTATAGATGAATTGAGTTGGCCATCTTCAGTAGACTATACAAAACAACATACTTTGGCTTCAAGAAATGCACACATATAAAAAGCATCGTATAGATGAATTGAGTTGGCCATCTTTAGTAGACTTTACAAAACAACATACTTTGGCTTCAAGAAATGCACACATATAAAAAGCATCGTATAGATGAATTGAGTTGGCCATCTTTAGTAGACTTTACAAAACAACATACTTTGGCTTCAAGAAATGCACACATATAAAAAGCATCGTATAGATGAATTGAGTTGGCCATCTTCAGTAGACTTTACAAAACAACATAAAGTGTATCAACTTCCAGTGATGGTTACTTGATCCTTGATCCTTGATTCGCGGTTGTCGGTACACGGACTAGCAATCCGTAGCCAAAAAACAACCCCACACCATGACAGTTCCACCACCAAATTTTATTGTAGATTTAATACATTACAACTCGTACTCTTTACCTGGTCTCTGACGTACAAATAATTTTCCACAGCTACAAAAATGGTAAACTACGATTCGCCCGACCAAATAACTTGAGCCCACCGAGTTCAAGTTAATGTATTGTCTGGCAAATAGCAACCGTGCCGAGATTTGTTGAGATTGTAGTTATGGTATCTTTTTAGCAAAACAGAATACCATCCTTATATAGTCTTGATTTTATTGTGCTTAAACTTGATCATTTTCTAGTGAGTTGATTAAAATTGACACGTAAATCACGGGCAGTGTTAAACCGATTCGTTAAACTAGATTGGTCTTCGCGTTCTGTTGTACGCCTTGGTCGACCTAATCGACGGCGGTTGCCTATACCACCTCGCAGACAAAGTTTCCGCAGGTTGAAATGTAAAGAGCCTTCAGAACTTTCCAGTCTTCTTGCGACTTCCCTGTTAGAAACTCCCTCTGTGTACAGTGCTTCAATGTTCCCAGTGGTAAATTCTGACAATTCCCTAACTTTCGGCTCGACTCAATGTAAATAAAAATTACGCATCTGATACTATGACCTCGGTAGGAATATTCATGAACCACAACTCACAGGTATTCCCGCCCAGAAGCACGTTTTAAAATAATTTCAGCTTCCAAATTGGTTCAAATTTGCATGAGAATGGACAGACTGTCAAGATTTGTCAAAAGCAAAATGGCTACGAACTGGTCATCTTGAGTTGAGTTGACAAATCAAAGTGACACACTGTTGAAGTTCAGTCACAGACCCTTTATGTTCTTTGAGACGTTTAACCCTTATCTGGTCAAGTCAATGTAAAAGACTGGTCTACAACCTTGGGTCGGAATTGAACTAAACACCTCAACAAAATATCCTGAATATAAAACAACAACAACAACAACAGTACTTACTATTGGTGTATAATGGCAGTCTGTATGGTCGTCCTTTAGAGAACGCTGCAGCTAGGATTATATATTGGTATGATGAAATCAGGAAAATAACGGTATTCTCAAAACACAGGATATTTTCATCTGCATTCGGTTGGGGTTCCAGGGGAACAAACCTGCCGATTGAAATGGAAAATATTTAATATTTAAAGTGGTTTGTCTGTGGTTGCTACCTCCACAGTCATTGTGTTCATGTTTGTATCATCCAAGACTGCAGAGGCTGATTCTGATGTTCATATAATATCATTTTCATTGAAATAGATATACATGCATTTTATCAGATTCTGATTAATAATCGTAAAACTACAAACACAGAAAGTGTGCATGTGCTAAGATATGGTATTAGAATGATCCAGCATACAATGCAAATATTGGTTTATATGCACTTCTATTGGAGATGCACTTCTAATAGAACATATGGTTTCTGATAAAAAATAAATCTGCATGTCAAATCCATTCACTCCAAGAACAAAATGGCAAATTTTAGACACTACACAACAATAATACCTGGTACTGATGTTTATAATGACAACAGCAATGATCAGACAAAGTAACCACTATCATTATCAACAGGAAGGGGAATAAATGTGGTGCCCGCAGATACTAGTCAAACCTTTCACAAAGGCTATGTGAATAACAATTTAAACTGCTTAATTTGTCACTCACCGAGGTATAGAGAAGAAATGTGTTAACTACATATTGGATTTCGCAAAGGATTATAGGATAAAAATTGAACTCTAGAGGGCGCTTTGGGGGAAACTCATCTCATCGATTTCTACTCATTCATTTTAATATTCTAATTTATGTTTTATTATTTTCCATATCACAGAAAAAAAACAACGTGCATCTATCTCATCTATTAACAAAAATGTTTTGGATTTATGTATGCCTTTATGGGGATTCCACAAATTCAACTCGCCAAACAAGTTTGGAAACAAGTTTAGGTACAGTTACTACCCCTGCAATATGTACGATGTACTACATAGCAGAATATCAAAATTTTGGAGTTAGCCAAAATTTAGAGTTAGCCATGGGAGGGGGAGGGAATAATATTTGGTTACGAGCTGGGGTTAATTAAAACATGCATACACAGGTTGAGGATGATTTCACTACGGTGAGAAAAATAATCAAATTTGATTTATATTTTTTGTTCCATTTTGTTTCTGCATTCAATCTGTCACTTAGGCGATAGAAGAGGAGATTGAATATTTAAGGAAGAGGTTATGTTTGCAGCATGAGTGTTTTAAATATCTACGATCCCTTACTGAGGAACAGAAATTTGTAAAATCCATTCAAATGAAGGATACATACCATGGTTGCGCAAGAAGACAGAAGTAGGCACCAGCTTGTATGAACACTTGTATCAAAACTTGTACTATCAGTGAGAATAAAATCGGTGCCGATACTAAACTGCCAGACGGCCTTTTAGCGACGAGCAGCGGATATGCTTCGGTTCGACCCACTATAAAGAATGATGTATACATGTTTATTGATTAATTAATTTTTTTTTTTTACATAGGAAAAATACAGATTCCAGTTCAATGTAATTTATATGCTGCCCTCTATAGTCGAAAATAATTTATAAAGACTTCTCTCAACAGTTAGATACACTGTAGAATACTTTATTTTCGCTTGGAATTTATTTTCACAATTTTCGCTGAAGGAATGATTCCGTGAAAATAAATCCAGCGAATATACTTTTTTTTCCTATATTTCACATTAAACTCATAAAAAATCAGTGAAAATAAATTCCATAAAAAAATGCCCAAAAAGCCTTTTCAGGGAAAATTAATTCCAGCGAAAATAAAGTATTCCACAGTAGTTCATAAACCTTGCCCTTAAATCTCAGGAACGTACATCCGGGCATTTTCATTGCCTGTCAACCATCACAGAAACAAAGGCAGACAACTTTCAGAAAACTGTACTTTGGGTTGGTTGTTGAGACTCCCCTGAACAGTGTAACAGAATTACCCCTGCATGTCCAACATAAAAATTTTGTCGTCCAGCATTACTTCAAAGTTGATTTTTGTTCTGTTTTCACGAATTTAGCTATTTTCATCGGCTCTTCGACTGGCGTTCCACACCAGCTTGCGCAGAGCCCATAGAAATACCTGGTACAGTTGTGCGCACTTAGCAATGTGTTGTGACGTAGCTCCGCCACGAAGAATAGTTAGATAAAGTTCATAAACACTGCCCTCAATATTGATTTACTTGATGTGTAATAGCTCACTTTGCTGAACACTGAATATACAACACTTTGCATGCATGCACATATAGGATATGGAGTGCAAGGTAAGCAAGCCATGCATGACACAGTCCCTGTTGGTTATCAAATTTAAGATGTATACATGTAGTGTTGTTTATAGTAACATAAACATGTCAGTAATATAGATTGACTTTTTAACATTAAAATGGTTGACATTCAGTCATCTTGTGTCTAATCATCAAACGAGTACTTGTCCATATCGATCTGGAATGGCCATTTTGAATACATTTGTATATCTATGACTCGATTTCATAGAGCCGCATTCATTAAAACAAAATGGCAGTCAGTCAGCCATTATAAATTTGTTCTGAAAAACAAAATGACGTGCACCAAGGACTAAAAATATATAATGTATCACCAATTTTGAAAAAATCCATCCATAAATGCCAAGATCCAGTTCTGGAATGCCAGAAATGCGTGATTTTGATGATTTTTTAGCACAAAATGAGCTGCCATTTGGTCATTTTAAATCAGATAGATTGGTTTGACTATCTATGTCATGATGTATAATGAATATATAAAATCAGAACATAATCGGTCAAAGCATGGCACATGGAGATATGGCACTAGAACTGCATTCATTAAAACAAAATAGCTGCCAGTCGGCCATTTTAAATCGGATCTGAAAAATAAAATGACGTGCATCAAGTTCCCATAATGTCCAATGTATGTACCAAATTTAAACAAAATCCATCCATAAATGCTTTATTTTGATGATTTTGTAGCACAAAAATGGCCACCATTCGGCCATCTTGAAACAGATTGTGAAACAAATTGATGTGCATATGTATAATATTATGTATGATGTATGTGTTATGTTTGATTGTGATTTATCCAGGCATGTCTAAGATACAGGTCCGGACGCACACATGCACACACAGATGCACAAGGGTCAAAACATAGTCTCCGTTTTGGGACAGAGTCCGAACGAGGACTAAAAATGGCCGTCATTCGGCCATCTTAAATCGAATCTTGAAACAAATTGATGTGCATATGTATAATATTATGTATGATGTATGTGTTTAGTTTGAATGTAAACAGTCCAAGCATGTCTAAAATAAAGGTCAAAACGCACACACAGAGGCGAGTAAAAACTGAAAATTGACTTAAATTTTATCTCTTCGGACCAAAATTAGGGTTCATTTCCAGAAATATTGAAGAACACAAAAAAAAAAAAGTGCTGACAAATTTGGGCGAGATAGTCCTGTAGTGAAAAGATGACTGACTTACTGAACACTGCTACAGTGGTTGTGATGACAAGATCAACATAAAGAAATTGCATATCCCCAAGATTGGACTGGATCTGTAATATAAAAACATGTTATGATAAACTCTAACTCTAGGCATGCCATCCATTTAAGGTAGTTGGCAACCATCAAAACTTGTCCCTGTATTTCCCAAACTCTTACCATATGGCTTTACTTTATGCTGTTGTTCACAAATTCTAGATAAAAAAAAGTTTTGCAGAAAAACTTTGTCAAACACAAATAAAAAAAATGTTTTTTGATCTATTTCCCATTGGTTTCCATGGTAAAAATGTTTCGTCACAACTCAAAATTTTATTTGGGTATAAAATATGGTGAAAAAAAAAAAATCATATAATTATAATATGGGTAAATTGGCTTTATTCCTTTAACATGAATTCATATGGAGATGGTTACAAAAAGGTCATTTCTACATGTTTTCAGACAAAAAAAAAATTGAGTAACATTTTTAAAACAGAAAAAAACTTATATACTTACATAATATAATATAAGGACGGATATAAACTGAACCATACTGTACAATGCCATATATTTAAATACACCAAATGATGTGACCAATGCTGCTCTGCCTTCTCTGTAAAATACATTATAAAGAGTTAGTGCATGAACTGTAATATACCGTAAACAATATGCTGAGTTAGGGAGTACTGATGTACATGTAATGTTGTTTACTGTAGACTGAGAACTATTCACTGGGTTTAAACCTACTGACTTAAGGAGTAACAATACAATCTGTGGATAATTAAGAAATAAAGAATGATATATTGTACATTATTGTGTGATGAGGATGGGAATAATTGGTGAAATGTTGCCAAGACGATTATTTAAAAGATTGTCCTTGGCATGACATACAAAATCAAAGAAAGCTTAGAAAGAACTCCCATGTGCTGAGAGTATTGGAGACACATTAAATATAATTCGAAATTACTTAGCTGAAAACTAATTATGCAAATCAGAAAATTAATATGACCAGATTTGAGTGTAAAACTAATGAGGTCTGCGCAATGTAACAGAAAATCTATGTCTCCAAGTTTAATTGAAATGTGATTAGAACCAAAAAATTATGAATTATTATGCTTATTAGGAATTAATATGAACAGATTTTTACCCCAAACTAATTATGTTTGTACATTGTCCTAGAGCATCTTTGTACTAAGTT